CCCATCGTGTGTGGTACAGAAGTAGCCGGAGTCTGGACAGGTGCAGTTTGAGCCTGTCTGTCTTGTACTAGGGGCTCAGCACAGAGCCTGAGCTGTACCTCTTCCCCTGTGGGACACAGCAGACTGTGTGCATTCCTCCACCCTGGCCTGTCAGTGTGGGCTTCCTTCCTTACGCAAAACAGCAGGGCGATAGGTTTCAGCGATGGCAGGTTGTTAATGAAAGCTGACTGGACTCTCTCCTGAGTGATGCTGTTATGTAACTCCTCCCAGCACTTCAAAGCCAGGAGATTATGTTTTCCAGAAGCCTGTCATTATGTAATTCACATCCTGGACATGATTAGGCATCACATGGTCTGATCATTCACCACTGTATGTCCTTTCTTGTCCAGGGGGATTGGAAGAGGGGGTTTCTAGAACAAGTTTCCCAAACAAGCCTCAGTGCCACAGTCAGTAACTGATGTTCCCTCTAAGCCGTGCACGTGTGCGCACACACACAGGTTATGAAATTAGGGCACACAGGAAATTGAACTGCGCACACAAAAAAATGATAATAAAACAAACACAGTCGTCAATTGAAAAATGCTAAACTGACCACATGAGACTGGCGCGCAAGTTTTTGTCACTGAGAAAAAATTGCACAACTTTTGCGCCCACAGGCCATTAAACATTAGGGGGAACATTGTCAGTAACACAGCATGGTTTCTGTCTCCAGCAGAAGTCAGATGTGATAGCTCATCTCTCTGCCACCTAAACCACTTTTAGAAGGGTCAAGGCTTTTTACATAACATAGGAAACTGCTGGTACCCTGAGGGCATACTGGCTGTGTGTTTATATCACCTGATCAGTAGAGAGCACTATACCTGACACATCCTATACTCTGTCACCTCTGTGCCACACACACTTCACAGCACACGAACTACGTCCTGGAATCTGCATAAAGAAAGAGTTTAAAGGAGCTGTCAGGTCCTCTCACTTACAGGGAACTGAATAGCAGACTTTTTCAATTAGATGCACCAATTTGTTGGAAGAGAGAGAAAATAGTGTCCGCTCCATAAAGGAGACGAGTGTCTGTGAAGCCAGGGTGCAGTGAGGGCCTGTAGAAAAAGGAGACAGGAGGGGTGAGGAGAAAAAAGAGGCTAGAAAAAGGAGAGGGGGGAGTTTTGTGATTCGTGTGGGGGGGGGGGGACTCAGCAGGTCTTTGATCTCAGGGTTTATCACTAATCTGCAGCTGTAATCCTGTAGCAATACAGAGATCAGACACGTCTTATTTCCCAGATTTTACAGAGCAGGAACAAGAGCACTCAGCTGACAGGTGGAATGGACTGTTCCCAGCTCAAAACCTGTTTCTGATCAAAACAGTTCCCAGCTCAAAACCTGATCTTTGCAGCTGAAGAAGTAAATCCAGTCTTCACTGCCGGTTTGTGGGGCCTGAGGCTCTCAGAACCCCCCACAATCCTCAGAACCCCATAAACCCTAAGAACCCCTAGAATCATCAGAACTCTTAGAGTCGCTGGAATCCCCCAAAATCCTCAAGTGCTCACATCCTTCAGCAAATCTGGAACCCCCAGAACCCTCAGAACCCCCAGAACCCAGTGAGGCAGAGATTTCAGACTGGGGTGCTCCCTTGCGCCTTTATGAGGCTCTGCTGACTTCGTCCTGCTTTCCAAAGCCAGATCCAAAATGCATTCCTCTGTTTGTTGATATGAGTTGGAATTTACTGCTTTGGGATTTTTACAACTGTTTTGACAAAATTGGGAGCATTTTCTTCTTAGAATGAAGGCAGACCCTTTCTGATCACTGTGTGAAAGCAGTAGTTTTGCTGCTGCTTGAGGCGGTGTAGTTTTGCTGCTTTGAGTGTTGAGGCTGAAGTCAGGGGAAGTTCACCTCCACCTCCAGACTGGCAGAACCTCCAGGTGAGTAGAACTGTAGAACTGTCTGCTGGCCCACGGTCCTGGTACATTTTTCTGTGAGAGACCACACTTTCGTCACTACACCAGTTGGACTTCTTAGGGCCGGGCTGTGATAACAGAGCTCCCTTCTGCTGCGCTGGAGGCTGGAGAGGGTACTGGGGTGCCTGGCAAGGTGAGGGTGCCAGGCCCCTCAGAATATGTGGTCACATGACCAGACTGGTGCAGTGGACTGCTGTTCTGTTACCATGGCAATGGAGGCAGGAAATGGCCAGCAAAGGGGGAATGAGAAGTGGGCGGGGTTCCTGAACCTGGATTTCTTGTTGCCCATCTCCCCCCCACCGCCACCCCTAGTACTGGCACTGCTCTGCCACAAAGCAAGCCTGTGGTATTTCCTTGAATTCTGTTTGCAGAGAAATCTGTTTTAGGGGAAAAGGGGGCTGCGTCGGTCATGGGCTCTGTGGCGGAGCTTCCTGTGTGCGTTTATTCTGGCGTGGAAACATCAAAACACTCTCCCCCGGCGGGCTGGAGAGACATGCCCCGGTGAGGAGGAACGAAAACATGCTTCCACCGGACGGGGGAAAGGGCACATTTGAGTGTGAGGCTCTGCCCCACCCTCTTTGGGCAGAGGAGCGTGCCTCTTGCGGAGCTAGAGTGTATTCCAGCCCAGGCTTTCACTGTCATGGTTCCAAACAACGGAGTCTCCTGAGACCAACTCATTTACTTGGCTAACGCAATTATCCAACAAGCTAACATCGTACCTGTTCATAGAGCTGGGTATTTTACAGGAACAATTTGAGCAAAGCACCTTGCTCAAGGGCTCAACGGCAGTAACTCACCTGGGGTCTGAACACACAACCGAGCTGTTAAAAGTCCAGAACGCTGACCACCGCTCCCCACTGCTGTCCTGACCTGCGCTGCTGAAGAACAGTGGACAGTCCAGCACCTGCTGCTGCCTTCTGGCTGGGCCTCCAGCTGGGCACAGAAAGAGAACAACGACAAATTTCATTTTTAAACATGTTTTATTTATGTATGCCATATTACAGGGCTCAAAAAGGAAAAGGGCTTTTGAGCCTTTACTGGGGGGTGAATAGGCAGGATGTGATTCACAGGCTTCTCTGCACCACGCCACACAAACTGAGAAATCAAAAACACGCTTGGCAGGGAACAAAGATCCCGTTATGAAAACGCGACTACAACGTTTTGCAATCGGCCGGGGCTGCCTAAGTTTCCCACAGTGGGACATTCCCGCCCCCTCTCTCCCAGTCTATCTCATTCCCGGCCCTGATCAAGCCTGTCTGCGCTGGGCTGTGATAACAGAGCTCTCTTCTCCTGTGCCGAAAACGCAGAGCAGTGATGTCATCGCTCCATCACGCTCCCCTGTCTGCGAACTGTGCCACTCTGTGCTCTCCATCTCCACTGTGCCTAATTGATTGCTGTAGTATTGCAGGGAAAACCCCGTCTTGCTCCTGCTCTTTACTTTACTTAGGGCCTGGGTGTTTTCATGTTTAAAACTGCCTTCTAAATTGTTTGCCCCTGTAATAAAAACTACAGTTCATGAGCTCAGGGGTTCTGCTATCTGAGTCAGTGGGAAACAGCTGAACCAGTGTAATCTGCCGTCCTGGGAGATACAGTGCTGCCAGGTCTGGCCTCATCTGCTCCCATGCACTGGCTTGGATCAGAGAGAGAGAGAGGTGGGGGCATCTCTCTGGTCCACTTGAAAGGAGAAAACACAGGTTTTTACAAATGGGTTTCACCTCCTTCAGGACAGTTCTAGCTGTGCATATGGAATTTTCTTTTTGGTGCCGCTAAGCGGCCCATTGGAAACTCCCTCTTGCAGCAAAGAGATAAGGTCAATGCAGTGTCGAAAGAGTTGATCTTCTGTGTGTTAAACTCCAGCGAAAAATAAACAAGTCAACACAGGTGGAAAGTACAGGGAAGTGCATTTAAAAGACGTGCACAGAGGGATGAGGGGGGCATGGAGCAAGCATCAAAGGCATATCGTCCAAGCTGACACCCGGGCTTCTTTCAAGACCGTCCTGGGTAAGACCCCCCGAGCGATTCGCTACTAGCGCTGTGCTGGATGGACCACAAGGCCTCCTTGCCTGTAACCAGTTCCCGTTCTCTCGTTCCTCCGGAGGTCGGGGTCACGGGTCTGGTGGGGGAGCTCCGGAGAGCAGGAGCCGATTCAGAGCTCCTCGAAGGATCTGAAGTCGGTGGCCACGTTTTTCGCAGAGTTCTGTGGGAACTGGGGCAAAGGCAGATCTGCCTGGCAGATTAAGTTGATTACAGCCCCCACGATCCCTTGCCACCCAGGCACTCGCGAGGGAGTGTAGGCAGCCAGAGCCGTATTCTGTTTAAGAAGAAAAATCCTCGACCAGTCCAGAAGCCGTTCAGCTGGCATGTTTTTGTTGTACCAGGAGCCACGTGCATGCAATCTGCCCTCACTGGACAGTCTGCACCTCGACCGCTGTCCAGGTGTGCCAAACCTTCGCCAAGGATAGGACTGCGGCTGCAGCCACAAGCAAGATAAGATTTTACAAGGCGTATCGTCTACCTCGCTAAGGACTCGGGCGTGGGACGAATAAGAAAGACAGCTCTGCAGATTGTGTCCTGCTTGCCAATCAGTCCTTGGTCGTCCGAAGGAAAAATAACCAGGCTCCGTCCGGAGGAACGCGTCCCTGTTCCTTTAAATTGCTGGAGTCGAGGATGACGCGCAGGCGCACTCCGAGCTCGAAGTTGGTGAAAAAGTTTCGAAGAGCGGGCGTGCAGGCTTAGTACGAGAGTGAGAGGGAGGGAGGGAGGTTCGTGCAGACACCCCCAATGGCACTATCCGCAGCCTCCGCTTTTCATGGATAATATCCGTCAGCTACTGAAAGTAAGTGGAGTACGACAGAAATACCGACACAACGCGATGTGAGTGGATCCTCTTTTTTAAATCGGAAGAGGGAGCGCTTGTCGAGACCCTTTGCATTTCATTAAAAAAAAAATACAGGTGAGGTTGTGTTAAAAACACCACACTTAACATCCAATGTTGCTTTTCGTGGGTGCAGTATCTCTCCGTGGCGTGAACGGTCTTGCAGATTCGGTGGTCCGGTTCCCATTTGTTTAAGTCACTGCTTGGCATCGCGATTCCACCTGACAGACCACCGCCGGCTACCCAGGTCACTACTGGTGGCGATTTTGTTGCTGTAATATAATCGACAGGAGCCGGGATCCTCTGACTGATGGGTTTATGAAACAGTTATGATTATGGTAGAAGTTGGAGGATTGGAGATGAAGGCTTCTTTGGTCCGCAAGCAGACCGAGTTCCCAGTGCCGTCAAAAGGGGTGCAGACGCGAGTCTTTTGTGGGTCTCAGCTGGGGGTACCGCGACTCCTCGCCCCGCACACCCTCAAAAAATGTGGGGCGTGCACGCACGCACTCCCCTTACTTTAATCATGAGGAAAAGGTGCCCGGTACATGACCCGCAAAGATCTATTCACATGAGTCCTGCAGCTAATTGAGACGACGGGTGATGCGGGTTACCAGCTGTAGTAAAGGAGAGTTCCAAGAAAGTTTTGTTCTTCATTTGCGTGGCTTTTAAAAAAGGGGGACACACAACAGATTTTGACCCCGCGGTGCCGTGGGCGGGGAGGCCGTCCTCTTGCGGCGGCGGCTGGAGATAAGAGTTGTAAGGATTGAGGCAGAGAGAGGTGTCGGTAAATAAGATTACGAGAATGTGAACACCGATTTCTCAAGTGTTTGCGCTGCTGATAAGAGATAATCCGCCTAGGAAAAACATCGAAACGTTCTTGGGACACCGCTTCGGATCCAGAGGGGTCTACCTGCGATGTGGATGATGAGCGAGAAGACCTGTACATGGTATTCTCGGCACATGCAGAATGTTTCTCGCCCATGGGGCCGGCAATTAGTCATCGCAGCGTTGATAATGACTGCTCATCAAGCAATCGCTTTTGTGGTGTTCTGCGAGTTTAGTTCTATAGCATTACATAATAAGGTGCCAATTAAAAGGGAATTGCGCAACAATCCGTTTCTGAACGACATGGTAAAAAAAAGTATATTCAGAGCTGTTGTGAGGGTTTGCTTTTTACGGTGCATAGAACAATTCAGTCACTTGTGTTGGGACTTCTGTTGGAAAGCGCGACTGTGTTTTTTTTTTCCCAGCCATACGTAAGTCTTCGTTGACTAGTCATTCAAAGACAGTTTTCGACATGGCTTTAAAAAATCTGCACCGTAACGAAATGTTTTCTTAAAGGGAGGCTCAAAGAGCAATATTTTCGCAAGTTTATAAAATTATGTCGATGCCCGTTTAACGTCGTTGGGGGGGTTAAACGAATGTCTGTGTTGAAAGCCAACCCTTAAAGGCAGAAAATAATACCGTTTTCGAAAAGGGGAGAAAATATCCGAACTACATCAGAGGTGATTCTAACGCCCGAATGGGGATAGTGCTTTCCGAATCTTTTCTTTGAAATAAAAGATGCATTGTGTAAAATTTCTCAAAAAATCTGAAAGTGGGACTTCGACTGGAGTTTTAAATCCAGAGAGTTGTGATGTGTTTTGCCCCCTTACAATAGCAGTGAAAGTCTCGGCCCCCGTCCCGACGTTAAACAGTAGCGCTGAGGCAGAAGCTCCAGTGGATGAAAGGAGAGTCTGTCGACTGCGCAGTTATTGTAATACAGTGACCTGGTTGTGGGGTCGTGGGTTTGACCGCAGTTTTATCGGTGGGTGTTTCTCCGACAGGAAAGCCCCAGAGATTTTATATTGTCGAAACTCAACAATAAAGACGGCAGCGGCTCTTCCTGGGGACACTGTACTGTTCAACTTGCTCCAACGGCCGGGCGACAAGGGGACTTTCACACGGTGTATGAGTGCGGGGGGGTATTTAATTACGGCATTTAATTACTTGGCACTTGAGTTATTATTGTTTAATATAATAAACCACGCTAGGATTGAAGACTGCACCCGACTTTTAACGTATAATTTTGCGGCGAAGGCAACAACAAAGATAAAAAAGCACACAGACTTGTAGACATTACCGTGTGTGTTGGCTTTACCGCTAAACTTGTTGCGCCCTGTTGCTGGTGTGTTTTCCCCGAGCCTCCGGCGGTACACTACAAGTGGGCCCGAAGGTTTGGTCTGGGCTGCCCCAACTTTGAACCCATCTGAGCGGCCTTCAGAAACGGGCCACAGTCTGGGCTTTTTAAGCTCCTAGCAACCAATTCAGTATGGGTATCCCGTCGTTCGAAAGGTGTCTTTTTTTCTCCTTAAACCCGGTAATTTTACGAGGCTAAAAAAAAGGCTGAGGTAATGTGCCGGTACACAGCATCATACAAACCAGATTTGTTCATTCTTTGTTTTGTACGTAGGAGAGAAGGAGTTAGGATTCCTTTTTTTTTTTATCTGAAGCAGGTGTACTTCCATCGAGCCGGATGCTGGCGTGGCAGAGGCGGGTACTTGGCAGTAGTGTGTGTTATCGTTGAGGGCTCTGGACCAGAGGGTCCTGGGTTCAAAACCCACGTGAGACGCTGCTGTTGCGCCCTTGAGCAAAATGTTCTGCTGCACTTTGCTCCAGTAAAGGCCCTGCAGTACAAATGAGAATTCTCCAGTTTCTCAGACATTTCTGACTTACCATGACTTATCATGGCTGTCATGTACCATAGAAATTGTGTTGGTTGTATTTCGGGTTTTTTAGCCCTTGCTGTCCTGTCTGCAGCCTGCGTTGCTCACTGAAGTATTTTATTTCTTTTTAAAAAGCCCAGTTGTGTTGAGGTCACTCTTCCTCCTGCCAGTGGGAGACACTCATCCCCTCTTCCCTTTCCCTTCTCCAGCCCGGCTGCTTGTTCTCAGAAGCGCTGAGAGTGTTTTCTCTCATGTCGACTTGAGAAGCCCTAATTACTGGGAAGAGAGCTGGTGTAATGAGCTCGCTGCCTGTGCAGACAGACAGTGTGGAGGAGTGTGGAGGCCTGTAATTGGACCCGGGCAGGCAGGGCCGGGCAGGCCTGAGCCTCACAGACGAGGAGGAGGAGGGGGGGCAGGGTGGCGTCTCTGTCAGGAGAGTGGATCTCGGTCTTCGTGTCCCCTCTTCCTCGTCACGCCTTTTCCAGCGAAGGGCGCCCTGTTACCGTGGATATCGCAGGCCTGTAGCCACAGGCCCTGTCTGGGTTTATTTATATTGACTTAAATCTTTCTCATGAATGGTGGGCGGATGCGCAGGAGGGCAGGGGCTGGCAGCTATTCTCGGGGAAGAAGGTGTAATCCTCGGAGCGCGGGCGCTGTCTACGGGCGCGCGTTCGTCGAGCGGAGCGTGAGGGGGAATCTTCTCAGTTCGCTCGCCTTTGAGCGCGGTTTTTCCTCGTGTCCGTTTGCTGCAGCCCCTTATCCCAGCCTCAAGGACGGGAGCCAAGCGCGGGTTTGGTGCCGCGCCTGAGCGTTGCGCAGAGCTGGAAATCTGACTCGGTGCTCTCTAGGTGGAATTACTGCTGTCGAGGCATGTACGGGCCTCGTGCCAGGAGGTGCTTCGTTCAGATTTGTACCATTATTTCCACAGGCAGGTGCTTGAAATGTGCGAGATGTCAAGGATAACCATCCATTTCGAAACGATTTATCCAGTACAGCGACACAGAGGGTGAGCAGAGGCAAGACAGGGTACCCCCTGCGCGGGACACCAGTCCATCACAGGGCACAGATGCACACACTCACACCAGGACCAGTTTTCCCAGAAGCGAATTAACCTACCGGTATGTCTTTGGACCGAGGGAGGAAAACGGAGCACTGGGGGGAAACCTATGCTCACATGGGGAGACCATGCAGGCCCCACGCAGATAGCACCCCAGGTCTGGAGTTGAACCCCAGGACCCCAGCTCCTGCGAGGCAGCAGTGCTATCCAGTGTGCCACCATGCCATCCGGGATATCAATATGTCGGACGTGCAGTGTCTTCTCTGTCATCCTTTCGCTTATGGGCTGTCCGCGCTGCTCCATGTGGTCACTGAGGTGCGTTTCTTCTGCCTTTCCTCTTCAGAACAGCACCGGCAGGCCTTTGCAGCAGCAGAGAGGGGCACCCTGACTGAACCGTGAACAGGAGAGCGCGCGACGGATAAGGGTGGAGCGATCTGGGCCGTGTCGGCAGCGCGAAGCGATGAGAGGCAGCCACCAGCGCCAGCCGCCATGCTGATCAATGTTACCGTCGGCAGCAAAGAGAACCTCTTTCATGGAGTCTCCGCGGGCGGCCTGTGCGCCCAGCTTCCGGTCGCCGTGACGATCATGGAGTCCCTGCCGGAACCCCCGGTGCCGCCACCACCCCCACCTC